AATGGCCAGCTTGGTATGGAGGATCAGAAGCCAATATCTATGAGAGTTCTCTATTTCCAGAAAAGCCCAGTATGTGACCAAAAATTGCCACGCTAAAGATGTATGGTGTAGGGCCAAGGAGAAGTCCACTGTCAGCTTATGCCATGGTATAGAGATTCCAGAAGCAATGAGAAGTGGTCAAATTATATACCTTTATTTGAATTTTGTTCTCTCTCTCTGTATCCAAGATTCCTTCCTTCTTTTTCTAACAGTTTTTCCCTTCTATACTCTGCTCATAGTTATAAACTTTTTACTTTAGCAAACCTTAAATAATTATCATAAAGGTTAGGGGCCCTTTCCAAGGAAATGGTTGTATCATAGGGTTTAAGAGCCCCAGACTTAAGTTGGGTTTTAAATAACACCTATGCTATGCCATAGGGGTGTCATGGGTATTTTACCCTGTCAAGCTAAGAATCATGATCTTTATTGCAACAGAGAAACAGACAACATTTTGGCACAATGGAAGAGTTCTGGGGTCACGACCCAGAGGTCATTCTCAAAACCATTGTCTACTATACGCATGCAACCTCTTTTTTTTTTAATCTCTCTGTACAAATTTCCTCAGAATATTTTGAATTTCTAAACATATAATGTTTAATAATCACAGCTTTCAGTCTGTTTCCTGATCACTCTAGGTGGAGACCTTCTGTGTGGTTGAGGGTAAAAATGTTGGGAGCCTAGTAGTCTACCTGTAGACAGCTATCTCATTCCCCAGTGAATATCAGTCAATCTCTTCAGTGCTGGAGACCGTATCTAGTAAGGTCATTTTGACTGTGAGGCAGGCATGGCAGTGAAGTACTTTTGCATGCTGGTAAACAGCAACACTAAGAAAAGCCTAGGTATTTTGGATAGGGTTTTTCACTGGTAGAGTAGCTGCATTATCTCTCCATTGTTTTAAGAGGGGCTGGTAAGAAATGCTCCTAAACTCTCTCTCATTATTTTTCCATCAGTGTCTTGACCATGGGCTGCCATGGATGTCTACCTTTGTACCCCTGGGAGTCAGGAGGATGCATGGGATGCATTGAGGGAAACAGTTACACAGGAAACGGGCAAGGTGGCTACCTTTGCCTGAACGGCAGCTCTCGTTAGGCAACCTGGGAGCCATGCTTAATTCTTTCTAGGGTATCAGTCTTCTTCTTTTCTACAAACCTGGCAATGTGTCATCCCATGTTCCTCCTGGGGGTGTACAGTCACAGTTAATATCCACGTGGCTGTCCCAAGCAGCTAATGGAGGTCACTAGATTAGATGCCATAACCAGAGAGCTCTAGATTACACTTGATAGGCAGGACTCAAGTACCAGCCTACCTTTAAGGTGCTGTGTTGTCACTACTTTTATGGGCAGGAGACTCAGGGACACTTGCCAAAAAGAGACCAAACCCAACAGTCAGTCATGCCTAGGTACAGTCAATTAACAAGAATTCTTCTTTTGGAGAAAAACAAGAGTTTCCTAGAAAGGGAAGAGAAGGAACAAAGTAGTACTGGAACCAATTAGTGGTTTGTTCGCATGTGACCTTCCTAGTATCATGAAACTACTTAGCCAAAAGCAATGAATTAAAGTTGACCAGGTGTCCTTGGTCATGGCTGGAGGTCATCCTTTAATAGGTTATTTTACTTGCCTCCTATTCACTCTATTGGTGAGGGAGACATTCCTGCCCTGGGATTATTGGGATGGAGAATCTGCAACTGGACACTGGACAAATGGCATCTACAACAATTTATTAGTCACATCTTCTCACATCCTGGGAGAGGAGGACACTACATTCTGCACAGGACCATGTGGAGGTTGCACTTGGAAACAAAGGGAACAACCAGGGACTGTGGGAGAAAAGCTTTGTGTTTCAAGAAGTGAACCCTGGTTCCAAGGGGATGATGTGATTAGCTTATTTGAATAATTCTATGTGTTAGCAGGGAACTGAAACCACTACTAGGAAACCCAGGATAAGCAGGGCCTATGCCTGGTCTCCTTGATAAGGAGGATGGTTTGGTTAAGAGACCTCATCTTCTGGAGCAGAGTGGGAAGGGAACTTGAAGTTAGACTTTTTGAGTCCTTCCTCGTGATGCCAACACATAACAATGGGCCTTAATTTTAGGCCTCAGACACTAAGGGTGAGCAGTATCTAGTATGAAAAAGACCAAAACTCTATGTGAACACTTGAAGAATTTAGGTCTTGGTCAGGCTTGACTCATGCCAATTTTTTCTGTTGTTAAGCTTTGATTCTTTGAAAGGGTTTCCATATCATCTTCTAAACAAAGTGGACCATTTTTGTAAATAAACTTTTCATGAACACAGGATCCCCCAGCTCTTTTGTAAACTTGTGAGAGAATCTTTTTGTGATTAAGGTCTGAAATCTGGTATTGTGTAACTTGACGGTCCATTTTCATCCGTGTTGCAGGCACTTTGTCAGCTCTTTCAATCTTCAAACCCAAGCCTTTCAACTTTTGGAAATTTTCTCGAGTTATTACTCTCATCATTTCTTCCCTTTTCTTCATTTTTTTGGATCCTGCATTATTTGGATGCTGAACCTCCTCTACTGCTCTGCCAATTTTCATTACTTTTTCTTTTCTATATTTTAAAAATATACTTTCTGGGGTATTTTGTTTGTATCTATTCCAAACCTCTACTGAGCTTTTTATTTTATTGTTACTATTATTATTGTTACTTGAATTCTAAGAGTTATTTTTGTTTTCTGAATGTTCCTCTTTTAAAGTACTTTTAACTCTTTGTGTATGCAATACTTTATTTTATTCATCCAAATATATTGATGACAGTTTATTTTACATTTCATTTTTTTCCAGATAGTGTCTCCTATAATTATGTTAGAGACTTTTCATAACGTTTTATGATACTTGGCTGTCATCTCATAATTAAGAATTTAGGTACTCTAAAATGCTGAAGATAAATTCTGCCCCTGTGTGGAGGACTTGTTGAGTATGTTTGTCTGTAGGATAATCTGGCTAACATTTAATTGGAGAACTCCTGGTCAATATGTTTAGGCATATTTTTCTTCTTGGTCTTGTTAGATAACCAAGAGAAATATTTTCAGGTCTTCTGCCTGGAGGTATAAGGGTATAAGCCTGAGTACTTGAATTCTGAAAACTAACTAGGAAAAAAAATCTGGAAGACCCAAGATCCAGACTTCTTGGTATGACGATTGCACTTTAAACTGTACCTGCTGTTTTCTAATGTAGGAGCGCTCTGTTTCAACCTCCTTAGAGATTAATAAATCTCCTGTCTTCTAACCAGAGGGAATAGTTGATCACCTACATGTGCACAGTTGATGAGGACATCTGGAGGTCTAACTGTTTCTTAATAACATTTTTGGTCCTTTTTATTAGGTTTATTTTTACCCCTACTTCAGAACTAATTTGTGCTATCAATTACTGAGCCTTTGGAATTTTCTGTGGGATAAACCAGGTTTCTTCTTTACACTGTTAGATTCCAGCTAAGGTTTTAAAACTTTTGCAGTTAGTGTGTCAATTATACCTTTTTATCTACTTCCAAACGTTCAGAATGTTGTCATAGTTATTTCCTCAATTGTTTGTCTTTCATTTGTCATTGTAACTTTTTCATTAAACTTTTTTTCACGTTCATAAAGTTTTAGGAGGAAGGAATGTTAGTGCATTAATTGACCTCTCCCCTCTCTGTAACTGGGAGCTTGAAAATAATCTATGGACATAATAAGCAAAGTCTTATAAGCATAACGCAGAATGTCATGTGGAAATTTGATCTTACATTATTGAGAGTTTGAATATGGGATTCTCTTTAGTATTTTTTTTTCTATTTTTGCTGTTGTTAGGGCTATATAGAAAAGCATTGATATGTTTGAAATTGAATCACAATTTGGAATTAATAACAAATTTTAAATATAAATAATTCATTTATTTCATTACATATCAATAAATAAAATAATAAAATATGTAATTCATTTTTCCCTATGTCACTATTACAATAACTTATTTTTACTTTTTTTGTAATATCATTATCTTGAAATCTAAAGTAATTTTAAAACAATAATGTTAAAACCAAAGGGGTAATATGCATTGTTATATTTGTTATAGATTAGAATAGTGATTATTTATTCAATTGTCTTTAAGGTTATTATATTATATTACAATATAAAACTTAATATAGCTTTTCTCTCATTGCATTGGTTTATTTACCATATTACTCTATTTTGAATAGTGGCCTGAAATTAGTGTCCAAATACTATCAGACAACTAGCAAGCTTCAGTACTTGAGGTCAATTTAATTACACTGTGCATGACAGAAACTAGGCCATTTGGGCATTGCCTTTGCCACCAGCAATTGACACCTGAGTGTTAATGAGCTGATAATTAAGAGTTGGCACATACAGACACATTTTACTGTTTAAGACTAGGATAACCATATGCTACGTAACTTCTGTGCTAAGTACTTTGTTAGCTCCAGAATTTACACAATTATATTTGTGAGTTGTGTTTTTTTTTTTTCAAATTTCAATTTTTCATGTTTAAAAAAGGTAAAAACTGTTACTTACAAAATGTAGGTAACTGTACTCATCAATTACAAGTTATGAAACTTTCTAAAACTAGCAAGATTATATTTGGAGAGCAATATATTTGGGGAAAAGGAATACAGAGTTTGTATAGTAGAATTAGTTTAAAACCACATTGACGGAACTTGCATTCTGAAATGCCTTTTGCAATATAAAAAAGTACCTAAAGCAATTTAACATGACTGTGTTTATGTAGGATTGACAGCTTCTGTGATGGCCCATAATGATTTTCACATCCTAACATTGACAGCCTTGAGTAATACCTCTCCCCTGAATGTAGATGGGATATAGTAAACTACCTCTAAAAAATCAATGTGATAAAAGTGAAGTGATTTCTCACTTGACATTAGGGTATCGAAATGCTATTGTTTCCATTTTGAAGAACTTCTTATATACTGTCTTGCTATTTTTTGGATTCCTTGCAGAGCTGTTGTGGAGGCAACTACGTGGAGAGACCCATGTGGCACAAGATCAAGGGCTGTCAACTACCACATGAGTGAGCTTGGAAACAGACTCCCAAGTTGAGCATTCAGATGAATCCACAGCCCCTGCTGACAGTTTGACTGCAACTTTCTGAGAGTCCTTAGCCAGAGGCACCTAGCTAAGCTGCATTAAAATTTTTGAACCACACAGATTGTGCGATAATAAATATTTGTGGTTTTATGTTGCTATGTTTTGGGGTATATTGCCATGCAACAATAAATAGTTAATACATTATGTAGGTGAGAATCTTATTGTCTGATACAGTAATATGAAGTAATATGAAGTATTACAGTAATATGAAGTATTTTTTCTGGTGTGATGTGGCCATTTTCGAAAACAATATGTATAATGTACACATCCTGTTGCTTTACTTTCTCTTCAATTTTCAGTTCTTGCTTACTCCTCTTTTCCTGACCTTGCACACAAAAAATCATCCCCACCATTTTTGGGATTGATCTATTGGCTTAAAAAAAATAAAGCTGTACTCATCAGATGAAAAATGTATTAACTTTAGTGAATTTTAGTTGTGGGAATTACTTCTAATTTTCTTCTTTGAAACAGTTTGCTTTCCATAGAATCCTCTGTAGGACATCTAGCCTTTTATATGCAGATTGGTATAATTATGCTTTGAAATAGCTCTGAATTCCCTGTAGCTTAAACTGAGAACATGAAAGACCAAATGTTATGTCGAACTGAAGGATATAAAAGTGCATGTACATCAATCCAAAATGAGATATAGAAATGAACAGCTTTCACACAGTGATGTCAGTTTTTGACAGATTATTGAAGGGTCTTTATAAGTGCAGAGACTGCTATGGGTAGCATGAAAACTCTGCCTGGGGATAGCCTTATCAGCTAGTATTTTGTATTTCTTCAAAACCAAAAGGTGAGTAGATGTTAAGCAAAACAAGAGAAATACTCTGTGACGAAAGCATTAACTCTCTTCCCAGAAATGACATCTGGTTTCAAATGGCAAAATACAGTGCGATCTAGTGATGGAATCATCTACCCAATCTGACATTCTAGAGATGGCAGCCTAGATGAGGTGCTTACATTTTAAGAAGTCGATAGAAAACCGACATGGCAATCTTCACCTCCATAGTGATCCCAGTGACAGACAAAGGCCTCTTCTGCACAGGAGGGGAAACTATTGAGCCGGTGACAGACACATCAAGAGTATTTAAAGCACCCACATTCTGTTTTACTAACAGCAGGAAGATTTAAAAAAAAATAATGGATTTTTATATGTTCACAACTTGAAATCAATACTATGCTTATTTAAAAACAGATTATAAAGAAACTCAACTTTATACTGGAAGAGTACGTAGTGTTAACTTTTAATATCCGATAATTATCATACCTATTTTGAATTAAGTAAAAATATATCTTAGAATTGTTCTCTTGCATCAGCTATTCATAGGCAATCCATTTTTTTTCTACTTACAGCGCGTATCCTCTCCTGAAATCATATCCAAACAAAGGAATTGAATATCCACATTATCTGGGTTTGTTAGTAGAAAGAAATATTTTTAAAATTTAAGACAAAAATCCCCTTAATTCTAGTGTTTCTAGAATGTGCAGATATTAAGTAGGTACAATTGAAATCAATATAAGAGGAGGGCAAAAATTTTTTGAACAAAGCATACACTTTGAAACTAATGCTGATTCAAAGGGAATTGTGTATGTGAGGAATACAATACTTAGGTATTCATTCTAAGCCAGGAAATTCTACCAAGTTTTGCACTTTGCAAACTTTATCACTTATAATGTGTAAAGTACATTACTTTGGAAGGAAATGATGATAACTCAAGTAATAGTTAAGGAAAACATAACTGTTAATTAGCTCTGACACTAAAATTTTTAAAAAATCCAATCTACTAAAATGTTTTTTTCCTGAAATAATTAACATAGTGTTTTTAAAAATTAAAAGGTTTCAAACCTATGCCTTAATGTATGCATTAGGTTAGTTCCACTTAATTAATTGATACTTTAGGAAATACACAGACAATATATAATGGATAGCATGATGACTCTAAAATTATTACAAACTGAACTCTCACTTTACTGCTTAAAATCCTGTGACCTTGGTGAAGTTTTGCTAGTTAACTCACAGATACAAATTATTTCTAATGTCTGAACTAGGTTCATGAATTAAATTTTAATCAGAATGATGTTCGACAAAATAATTTCCATTTTATAGGGAGAATCCTTTATGATCTGGGGACATACTCATTGCATATATTCATGTGGAATTCCCTGTTTAGGGAAGTTCTGGATAGAAATAAAAAAGCAAAATAAACTGTTAAAATCTTGTAATACTCTTAATGACTTATTAAAATTGTTCCTGTCATTGGTGATGGGCAATAGTGGTTTCTAGATTTTATCAGCAGGCATGACAAGTCATCTCTTCTTAAACAAGATATTTAGACCTCATTTTATTCCAGTGAATAAAGGGAAGTAAAGAGCATCTCTACCATGAGTTTTTATACAACTCCATACGAAGATATGCACCAAAAGTAATAAAAACATTTTTTTTGTAAGAAAATGCAGCTCCAAACTGGCACAAACCGTGACAAGCATATAAGATTCATTTAAAAATAAAAACTAAGATAGTTCTAAAGTTCAGTGAAAGCTGATACTTATTGAGTGCTCCTTCTGTGACAAGTGCTATGCTGGTCATCACTACACTTACATGAGAAATGTACTATCTTTAATCTGTTTAAAATGATAAAGATGTGAAAATCATGTAAACTTTATTTCTTAATTTTAAGGCTAGTGAGTATTGGAGCTGAGAAGTGGCCTCTGGCCAAATGACACCTGCTGTTAGTTCCCTTAAGTGGTATGGGAAATAAGACAAAATAAAATGAAGCAATTCATCACTTAATGTTTATTAAAAAGGTCTAAAATAGGTATCTTATGTATTGAATTTTAAAGATAAATTATTTTAGATACATTAATCCCTCCCATATTTAAACCGAATAGCTGTGTAAAACAAAGTTAGTTCATAGTTCAAATAATGGAAATGATCAAGACTTTAAGGCCTAAGTTGTAGGTTTTATGCTTTTTCCTACATCTCCAGACTATGACAGCATATCTCATATTATACTGTTTGTGTGTGTGTGTCTGTGTATGTGTATTTCTGTGTGTGTGTTTGAGTGAAAGAGAGAGAGAAATGACTTTAGAATAGATGGTAACATTATTGGTAATGAATAGAATAGTATACATTGAAGCACAATATAATACATTGGAATAAAACGAGATCTAAAGATCTTGTTTAAAATTCTCAAATGTATGCTCCCTAAGCCTTCAGTTCCACTAGATTGAGGGTTGGGTGGAAGTGAAGTATTGGAATTTCTATTTTCAAATGGATACTGCATCCTATATCAATTCCTGAAAGATGTACAATTCCTTAGCTATAGCCTGGAGACAGAACGAGATTCCATCTCAAATAAATAAATAAATAGATAAATAAATAAATAAATAAGTCTCGTAAGAGTCCTTCAATTAAAAAAAAAACAAAAAAACAAAAAAAACTTATCTAACACATTTTAGCCTATTATTCCTAACCACTGTTCATGAAACTTTTTTTTAAATAAAATTAGCAGCTACAAATGAGAGTTACAAGGGACATACTTTGAGAAAGGTTGATTTATTGTTCCATGTATTTTGCAGAAGTGGAAAATTAGGGCCAGAGGAGTGTGACTTAAGGTCCTTTGGCAAACTAGTAGCAGAATTGGAATTGAAATACACAAAGCTGATACTTTTTATGCACACATCAAACTCAGGACATGGAAGTAGATGTCCTGGGTTGCCATCCGTCTTCTAATACTTTAAATCCGTGTGACTTTTGAAAAATCACTTAGCCAAACTGTGCCTTAGTTTATTTTATGATTTGTGACTAATTATTTAACTTTCCTCACTGGATTATCAGCACGTTCCATGGAAAATGCATATAAAATTTATATGCATCATGGCTACAATAAATGTTGTAGTATGTTATATATGTTTAGATAGATTATAGAAGAAGTGAGAAGAATTATTACAAGGTACTAAAGGTTCTACATAGTTCCTTTTCATTAAGTTTGGAAACAAAGCTCTAGGATCGTGTTTATGTATTTGTAGGAAGCAAGAGATGGTCCTGTTGAGAATTCATCTTAAGTAAAAAAAAAAAAAAAAAAAAACCTTTTGACATTATCATTAAATAATTACATGTCTGACAGGTGAGAAATAATTAAAATTGTGATATGGCTTTGGACAGTATCTATGTGGGTTCAGATCCTGGCTGTATCACTCACTAGTTCATTAATGGAAGTAGCAACAACTATACTCATGAGATTATTGGAGGAGTATTGTATTATGCTGCTAAGAAGAAATAAATGAGACTGGATAATTTATAAAGGAAAGAGGTTTAATTGACTCACAGTTCCACGTGGCTTGTAAGGACTCAGGAAACTTACAATCATGGTAGAAGGGGAAGCAAACATGTCCTACTTCACATGGCAGCAGGAGAGAGAAGTGCAGAACAAAGTGGGGAAAGCCCCTTATAAAACCATCAGATCTCATGAGAACTCACTCACCAACATGAGAATCTCATGGGGGCACTGCCTGCATGATCTAATCACCTCCCATGAGTTCCCTGTCCCAACACGTGGGGATTACAATTCAAGATGAGTTTTGGGTGGGGACACAGAGTCAGATCATATTGATTATAAATGTCTCTCTGTAAATTATAACTTGTAATAAGGTGCTAAAAATCTTATTTCTTGGTCCTTATTATATGCTTAACAATTATTTTTATTTTAGAAGTCAAAGGTAGTCAGATCTCCTACCACGGACTTAATGATGTCAGTGTTTTTTATTTTCCTATTTGAAGACTTTTTAAGAGAATAATATTTGAGAGAAGGAGATAGATTGTTAAAAGCACATGAAGATAATACAAATTGCTTATCAGTTTAATAATATTTGACTTTAGAAAAGAATCTAAAAAGACTATAATTATAAGAATGTTAAAACACCTTTAAAATCTCTTTTTAATAGCATTCATGTTTGGTTATTTTTTCAGAAAAATATTGCTTATCTTCACCTGTTCCTTCGTTTCTCTACATCAGATAAAAGGCAGTACAAATTTTATATCAACTATGTACACTTTACTATAAATGTCTTTGAAGTTTACCTAACTATGCCTTGAATACCTGTATAAGAGGAGCTTTAGCTAAGTATTCTAACAATTTGTAATTCTATCGACTTTTGTAAAATTATTTTCTATTATCAATATATACAGTTTTATCTACTTGCTGAATAGTCTTTACGTGGTAGCCAGGTGACCCAGGAACACATCAATAACATAAAAAATCATCTTATAAATTAACTTTTAGCAAATAAATTATTTATATCAGGGATTACCAAAAATAATGTTTATTCATATGTTTTGAATAATACAGAGGAAAATAAAATTAATGCCTTATCTTTCTCCATATATGGATAAAACACATTTTATTTATTTTACTGTTGTAGAACATTCCTTTTTTTAGGTAATTTATATAGAAGTACAATGAATACAAACATATGATTTATTTTTATTTCACACTTTAATATATTCTAGCTCTCTTGATCAGAAAGTGCGAATTCTAAATAAACATTCTTTTACAAAGTTGGGTCCAGGAAATACATGGTCACATTCTGTACAGTCAGCTTTCTGTATCCATGGGTTCCATATCTATAGACTCAATCAACTGTGATGAAAAACATTTTTAAAAATCAAAACAATAAAAATAATAAAACAACAAAAATACAAATTTTAAAATACAACATAACACCAATTTATATAACATTTACATTGTATTAGATATTATAAGTAATCCAGAGGTGATTTAAAGAGTATGAGAGTATGTGCATAAGTTACACACAAATACCACACCTTTTATATAAGGGACTGGATTATCCTTGGATTTTGGTATCCATGGGGGTCCTGGAACCCATCCCCCACAAATACTGAGAGATGATTGTATATACTGAGTGTGGGTATGTGTATACACACATATTTTATACACACATATATTTCTATTTTTGTATATATATATATACACATACATATTGTTATGTAATGATATTTTACCAAATTATCTAAAAGTATATCTATTGCTCTTCAGAAATAGTGTGAAAAATAATACTATTTGTTTAAAAACAGATTATTAGTAAGTAATTGATTTGCATGTAATCAAGGCCAATAAGGAGCTCTTGAAGACACTGATAAATTATATTCATCACTTATTCTTAATTAATAAGGAGATTGAAATAACACCTCAGAGGAGAGAAAGGAATTAATGTAAGTACTGGAAAAAATTATGATTTTTTAATTTTATTACAGAAAGGCTTTCTAACATGATTTACATGATTAATATTTGATGTGTGCAATTATCAGTAATAGCAGGTCATATAACAACGTTTGTAAGTTTGAATAACTCTAGTATGTGTATATTCCAAAATCAAGAGACAAGGAGTTTTAAGCAAATTTGATAATCTGAAAGATATTCTCTTAGTAACTCTATAGTTAGCTACATTTCATTGTTTATTATCACATATACTTCTATTCTCCTTTCTTTCCTTTACATTGTTACAATGTTTCCATTACTATTTTCAGACCTGCCTCACCCACACCATTCAGTGAATAATCTTGCTTTCTAGTTCAGAGAAATAATTTAGGCATCAGAAAAGACTCTGTAACATCCTCTAAGACACTCATAATCTTACCGCACCCATCTTTACATTTTAAGAGAAGCATTTTTGATGGTTATCTGTATTAGTCAGGTTACAAGTAACAGAATATCCACCCACACTGGATTAAGAGAAAACGACAACATT